CAAAGGCCTTTTCTGCATCTAAAAAGTTTATCATGTGTTCACTCTTCTTTCAATTTGTTTATATTGTGGATTTTATTTACTAATTTTCATATATTGAACTACCCCTGTATCTCTGGGATGAAGCTTACCTGATCATAGCAGATGATTTTTTTGGTGTGTTCTTGGATTCAGTTTGAAAGTATTTTATTAACTATTTTGCTTCTATATTCATAAAGGAAATTTGTCTGTAATTAACTTTCTTTGTTGAGTCTTTACATGGTCTGAGTATCATGGTATCATAAAATGAATTAGGCAGTGTTCCTCTGTTTCTATTTTGTGGAATAATTTGAGAAGTATTGGTGTTAACTATTCTTTGAAGTTTGGTAGAATTCTATATTAAACCCATTTGGCTCTGGGCTTTTTTTTTCTTTTTGGTTGGGAGTCTTTTAATGACTGTTTCTATTTCACTTGGGGTAATAGATCTATTTAATTATTTATCTGATCTTGATTTAACTTTGGTAAGTGGTGCCTATCAAGAAAAGTATCCACTTCGTTTAGATTTTCCAATTTTGTGAAGTACAGGTTTTTAAAGTATGTCCTTATAATTCTCTGTATTTTTCCATGTCTATTTTATGTCTCCATTTTCATTTCTGATTTTTTTTAATTTGGATATTCTCTATTTGTCTTTTAGTAGTTTGGGTAAGGGGTTTATTCATCTTGGTGATTTTCTCAATGAACCAACTCTTTGTTTCATTGATTCTTTGTATTGGTCTGTTTCTGTTTTATTGATTTCAGCCCTCAATTTGATTCTTGATGGCTACTTCTCTTGAGTGTGCTTGCTTCTTTTTTCTCTAGAGATTTCAGGTGTGCAGTTAAGTTGCTGGTGTGAGATCTCTAATTTTTTTATGTAGCCACTTAATTCTATGTTTTATTGTGTCCCATCAGTTTAGGTATGCTATGTGTTCATTATCACTGAATTCTAGAAAATGTTTTTTCTTTCTTATTTCTGTCTTGACCTATCATTTCATTCAGTAGAGAGCTGTTCAGTTTCCATGAGTTTGTAAGTTTTCTATATAGCTGTAATTAGTGGTGGTCTGATAGAATGCAGGGAATTACTTCAGTATTCTTGTATCTGTTGAGGCTTGCTTTGTGTTTGAATGTGTGATAAATTTTGGAGAAAGTTCCAGTAGGTGCTGAGAAGAAGGTATATTATTTTGTGTTTAGGTGAAATGTTCTGTAGATATCTACTAGGTCTATTTGCTTTATAACTTCTGTTTGTTCCAGTATTTCTCTGTTTAGTTTTTGTCTGGATGACTTGTCCATTGATGTGAATAGTGCAGGGAAGTCTCCCACTATCAGTGTGTAAGGGTCAATATGTGATTTAATCTGTAGTAGTGAAAAGTGTGAGCCTTTGTGTTTAAGAAATGCATGTTAAGAATTGAAATACCATCTCGGTGGATTTTTCCTTTAGTGAGTATTTACTCTTTTGATTACTTTTAGTTTGAAGTTTATTTTGTTAAATATTAAAATGGCTACATCAGCTTTCTTCTTAGATACATGTCTTTGAAACATCTTTTTTCCAATCCTTTACCCTGAGATACTGTTTATCCTTGATGTTGAGGCATATTTCTTGAATACAGCAAAAGAATGAATCTTGGTTTTACAACCATTCTGTAAGTCTGTGTCTTTTTATTGGGGAACTGAAACCATTGATACTGAGAAATATTAATGACCAATCATGTTGATTTCTGTTATTTTGTTATTGGTGGTGGTGGTGGTGGTGATAGTGTGTGTGTGTGTGTGTGTGTGTGTGTGTGTTTCCCTTCTTTTGATTTTCCTGGTGTGAGAGTGAGATAATTTATTCCTTTTGTTTTCATGTGTGTAGTTAACCTCCTTAGATTGGAATTTTCCTTCTAACTCCTTCTATAGGCATGGATTTGTAAATAGATATCACTTAAATTTTGTTTTATTGTGGAATGTCTCTTTTTCTCCATTGATAGTGATTAAAACTTTTGTTTAGTAGTCTGAGCTGGCACCTGTGGTTTTTAGAGTATGCAGCATATCTGTCCAGGCCCTTTTGGCTTTTAGAGTCTCCATTGAGAAGTCAGGTATAATTCTAGTAAGTTTGCCTTTATGCGTTACTTGGTCTTTTTCTTTTGCAGCTTTTGATATTCTCCCTTTGTTCTGTGTTTAGTGTTTTGACTATTATGTGTCAAGTGAACTTCCTTTTCCAGTCCAATCTATTTGGTGTTCTGTAAGCTTCTTGTACTTTATAGGCATCTCCTTCTTTAGGTTAGGGAAATTTTCTTCTTTGACTTTGTTGAAAATATTTTCTGGGTCCTTTGAGCTGGGATTTTTCTCCTTTGTCTGTTCCTATATTTTTAATTAAAAAATTTTATTTTTAAATTTAAATTCAAATTAGAAACAAGGTTTCTTCACATGTCAATCTCACGTCCCTCTCCCTTTTCCTCCCTTCCTCCCACCCCCCACCCAGTACCCCCTCCCTTCCCCAGGGAGGGTGAGTTCTTCCATGGGGGTGTCCATAGTCTGTCATTTCATCCAGGACAGGGCCTAGAACCTCCCCCAAGAGTCCAGGGTGAGAGTGCATCTCTCATTGTGGGATGGGCACCCAATGTCCATTTGTATACCAGAAATAACTACTGGTCAACTACCAAAGGCCCAATGGATTGCCTAGGCCTCCTCACTGACACCCCATTCAGGCGGTCTTGATCAGCCTCATGCTGGATTCCCAGACATCAGCCTGGGATTCAAGAGTTAACCCTTGTCAGGTCAGCTGTTTCTGGGGGTTAAACCAGCCCAGTCTTAATCCCTTTGGTCATCAGTCCTCCCTCTCTGTTACTGGCTTTCTTGAGTTCAGCTCAGTGCTTAGCCATGGGAGTCTGCCTCTTCTTCCATCAGCCACTGAATGAAGGTTCTGTTTCCCTGACTCTCTGGCCATGGGATTGTAGGCTGGCACTCCCCAGATCTATGTCTAAAATCCATATATGAGAGAATACATGCCATGTTTCTCTTTTTGTGACTGGGTTACCTCATTGTCTGTTCCTATTATTTGTAGGTTTGGTCTTTCCACAGTGTCCCAGATTTCCTGGATTTTTGTGTATGTGTGTCAGAGGATTTCTAGATTTACCATTTTCTTTGACAGATGTATTCATTTCTTCTTTTGTGACTTCAATTCCTGAGAGTCTCTCTTCCATCTCTTATATTCTGCTGGTAAAGCTTTTCCTCTGGACTTTCTGTTCACATTCTGAAAGTTTTCATTTCCCAAATTCCCCATTTCTGTTTTATTATTGATTTTATTTTCATTTTCAGGTCTTGAGCAGTTTTATTCATTTTCTTCAAATATCTGTTTATATTTTCTTGGATTTTAATTTCTTTTCTGAAGTGACCAGAGCCTCATCTATCTCTGTGCTTTGGCAGCCATAGCAGGCTGAGCCCCCGACCTTGTCCGACCTTGTCCTAGTCACTAGGAAACCATGTGGCAAGGAACCAATCAGAAGTTAGCTGACAGGCTCTGGATGTGCTTTCCAGTAACAGTGGAATGCAGAGTGTAGCAACTGCCCTGGGAGGGTCTCTAGGCCAAAGCAAACTTGTTGCAGCTGCAGCTGACCAATCAACACAGGACAGGCTGCCCAAGTCCAGAGGTGCACCAATCCTGAGACTGTTGCAGACCCCAGACACTCCCCTTGCTCTACCTCAATATATTCCCTGCCCCACTGCTGCTGAGGTCCCCCACCTGCTTCATCTACCGTGTTGGATGGATGGGGGAACTGAGTTAACTCGTAAAATTAAAGATTCTTTGCTTTTGCATCGAATCAGGTCTCTTGCTGATTTGGGGGCTCAGAGTTTGGGCACAACATTTTTGAGATAGGGTTTCTCTGTGTAACAGTCCTGATGTCTTAGAACTCACTCTGTAGACCCCACTGGCCTTGAACTCAGAGCCCTCCCTGCCTCTCTCTCCTGAGTGCTAGGATTAAAGGCATGTGCCACCACACCTGGCATTTTGACTCTCTGTAAGGGGTTTATTTATTTCCTCCAGTATTTTTGTTTGTGTTTTCCTGACTTTCTTTAAGGGATTTATTCACTTCCTTATACTATTTGTTTCTGTTTTCCTGGATTCTTTAAGGACTTAATTTCCTCTTTAGTGACCTCTATCACCGTCATTGAGTTCGTTTAAGGTCTTTTTCTCTTTGTTGGATGATGTTTAGTTGTTTAGTTTCTATTTCCTCTCTGGATATTTGGAGAGTGCGATGTTTGTGTGTTGCCAGTTTCCTGGCCTGCTCAGCTGGTGTGTTCTCATGGAATGCCTGCTGCTGTTGGAGGCTGGAATACTGGGATGAGTTGGGGGAAGGAAGGTTGGAGGAGAAGGTGTTGTGATGGAACACAACCCCATGAGGAGTTTATTGGGGGAAGAGAACAAGGAGCGGGGATGAAGGGAAAGGGGGGAAGGAGGAAGAGAAGGGGCAAACATGTGGAAGATGCTCACTTAAAAGGGGAAGCTTGCACATTCATACAGAGTCTTAGGAGGCCATGTACACATGACATAGCCGACATAGCTATGCCACACAGGGCCGTTTGAGCTGCCTAAGTATCTGCCTGAATGCCAGTATGCATGTCCCACTCATTGTCAGGGGATGGGGTCAGCATAATGACAGGGTTCCGACAATCTCACCTCTTATTATTATTAAAAAGGTGGGGGTTTAGGCATGGCAGGTTAGGGAATAAGGGTGTTGAGTTCTCAAGACTACTTCCTGTTGACCTCGAGGGTGTTAACCATCTTTGGGGAACCTGAGAATGCTAGAGGGCTGCCACATCCTGGCTTAGCTGGTTGTTTCATCGCAGTCAAGGCTGTATGGAACTCTCTGGCACCTCTTAGACCTGTTTGGGTGGGTTACAAGAATCCTTTGAGTTTGTGAAAAACATAAATATTAGACACAGTAGCAGTATACTCATGTCAGAGGTAATTTGGCTGAAAGCATTAACATTTTTTAAACTGACAGATATCTTTAACACAATGAAAAGCACCTTAATCTTGACCTTTCTGTTAGGATTGTATAGTCGTATATATAGTATGGTGTTTAGTATCCTGTCAGAGTTGGATTAATGGCTTTTCAGAACTTTATTGATTAATGTTAAGACTATGAGCCGTAGCATAATGAGAGAGAGAGAGAGAAATCTGATAACTTGCATTTGTACACCTTAAGTCAGCTTGTTATACCTTAAAACATTTTTTAAAGAAAAGGATGGTAAGAAGTTACAGCCATCAGAGGTCTTGAGAAGGATAAATTTTACCTGGATTAATGACTACAGAATAACAGATACTTACTAACTGGCAGCATGGACATCTGCTCTAAACCCTCCACAGTTGTTGAGGTCAGAGGCTTTAAGGACACCTGCCTTCTGCTGATAGCCTGGGACCTGTGGATTGGGAGCTTTAGGAAGACTTGTCTACTGTTGGCCCAAACAACGTGGAGAAAGTCGATTCCACTGTCCTCTTGTCCATGGTCTGAAGAGTCCTCTGCTGCAGTTGAGGTGAAAGGCAGGGTTTCTCAGTGGCCAGCATTGCTACTTTTGTGGGTGGAATTTCTTCAGTGTCCAGTCTTCTTGGAGGAAATGGGGTAGGGCAAGCAGCTGGCCTATCTCTGTTAGAAAAGCTTTTAAATAAAATATTTTAAATGCCATATTCTCTACATCTCTGAGCATGTGAGGGCTGTCTGTCTGTTCAGTATATCTCAGCACACACACAAAAAAAACTGTCTTTAGTTACTTGCCTTAAGCATATAGATGGCTAGGTAAGGCTTTATTCCTGTAATTAATAAATTAGTGAAGGATCTGTCTAGAGAACTGGATCCAAGCTGAGAGGCTGTGGACAGATGTTTTACTCAGAGCCCTCCAGCCTGACTGCAACTGGTTTTAACTTAGTAGGTTAGATTTATGCCTGTGAAGGACAAAGAAGTAGAGAAAAATTCCCTTTTGCAATAGAAGCTTAACCTTTGTAAACAGCTTATAGGAAGGACTGGGTGGTGTATATATTTTGTTAATTTGAAATAGATCTTTATAACCTTAAATGTTTACCATCATTTAAAGATACATACCAATTTAGAAATATTTGAGACAGCACAGTTGAATTTAAGTTGCACATAAAGTTAGCTTACATTCACATATATAAAGTTAAATTTAAATCACATGTCCAGATGTACGCAGTTATATCAAACAGGACTGGGTGAAAGGAAGAAGGAAGAACCAGAGTGTGATCTCTGATTCTCATGTTGCACCAAACAGACAGGACATTTAAGGAGACAGAGTAGATTTAAAACTGCCAGCGACAAGAAAGCAGATCCGCTGCAGATGGAACAGGCTAGGTTTTATGCCTGGCAGTAAGGTTCGTTGGCAGAAGCTGGCTAGGCTGTCCCTCTGCACAGGCCGAAGGAAGGGAGAAGGCAGTAATCCGTAACAGCAAAGGCAGAAAGCTGAAAGTCGAAAGCACTGCTCAGCGAGCGTGGTACCCATGGGAAATCTACCAGAGGTGATGGTCAGTGAGAGGGATCAGCCGTGGCCTTGAAGTCTGTGACTGGCTGACTGGGAAGTGGGGTACCTTACCAAATTGTAGCCGATGTTGCCTGAGGGTCCCAGCAGACGGGTAGATGGAACGTGGGTTGTTGGTTTGGGATCAGTGTCTCTGAGTGTCTCTCGCTGCCAGCTGGAGAAATTACGGAGAGAGCCTGAGCGAGTCTCGGCACCAAAATGTTCTTTTGCTTAATTTACTGCACGATGGAACACGAACCACAAGACTCAACAAACCCATGAGGAGCTTATTGAGGGAAGAGAAAAATGAGGGGGAGACAAAGGAAAAGTGGGGAAGGAGGAAGAAAGAGAAGAAGGGGTGAACATGTGGAAGGTGTTTGCTTAAAAGAAGCTTGCACATACGTACAGAGTCCTTATGCGACCACGTAACCAATGACGTAGTCGACATCGACACAACACAGGGCCCTTTGAGCTGCCTAAGTATCTGCCTGAATGCCAATATGCATGTCCCACCCATTGTCAATAGGCGGGGTCAACATAATGCCAGGGTTCCAACAGAAGGTCTTTGTGATTCCAGGGAGATGGGATCAGAGAGGAAAAGGAGACCACAGCAGGTTTCCTGCTACAGAGTTGGGATGAAACTGTAGGGATTGGCTCTCAGGAACAGTAACCCTATGGGGAGTGGCCCTTGAGTTAGCAGGGGATGCTTGCTGCGGTTGGGGGTTGGGGTCTGGGACAAAGCAACAAATTGGGGGAGGAAGTTAGAAGGGACCCACAGGAGATGGGAGCAGAGGTGCATGGAAAGCTGCCAAGGGTATCTGCTGCAGAACTGGGGCAGACTGGGGGGTTGCATCTGGGGGAATGGAGAGAAGAGAAGATCTGTGGGTAGGCTACTTGGTTTTCTGGCAGGCATGGCCTGTGGGTCAGCAGGGAGTGCCTGCTGGAGTTGGAGGCTGGGGAAAAGCAACAAATGGGGGAGATCCTCAGGAGATGGGAGGGGGTGAGAGGGTAATGGAAGGCTGACAATCCTGTTCTGCTGCAGAGCTGGGGATGAGACTGGGGGATTAGATCTGGGGGAACAGAGAGAAAGAGAGAAGCTCTGTGGGCAGCCTACCTGGTTTTCTGGAGCTTCTTAATTATTAATTCAAATGAATAGCAAAAATGTCTAATGACAGAATAATCAGCTTTCTACAGAGTAACAAAAGTAAATCTGCGGGGCCATCTCTGCAAACACTGAAACACTCGTTGCTGTTTTTCTTATTTAGCCTTACATTTTATGTCAGAGATTGCATCCGTCTCCAACAGATGCTTGGCGTTCTCCCAAGATAAGGGGTTCATATACTTTTCTGGGTGGGGATTTCTCATATCTTTTCCAAATTGAATATGAAAGCTGAATTATTCCAAGAACTGTTCACTTAGATTCCAGTAAACAACAACAATGAAAAGATGCCACAAAATATTCTGTTAAGAATCCATGCATTGTTAATAGAAGTCTCAGAGCCTGGTGTGGTGCACTGCCCTTTAAATTGCTATTCAGAAGACTCCAAGGAGTCTCAAAACAATATAAATTACTGCCATTTGTCTTGGTCCCCTCCCCCCAAGGAGAAACTGACAGTAAATCCCTCTTGCTGAAGACACATTCCTTGATTACAAAATAAAGGGAAATCAACCTGAAACTTTACTGGAAGCTTCCTTCCGCATGGTTAGCTTCCATAGTACCACAAGCTGATGACATGCAGACAGCTAGAAGAGGAAAATTAGCAATAACTTACATAGCTATGAACATTTCATGCTACAATATAAGATATGCTCATGGATGCTCACAGATATGTTCAACTGTTATAGAGGTAACCAACAGCTTTCTGATTGGCTCTCAAGCCCCTTCCATAGGAAAGAGTTCATGACACATTCCATGAACCAGGTCAAAGGCTAATGGCTAAAGATCACATAGACTCAATGGTGAACCTACTATTGTTTTGAATCCATTGTCAAATTGCCATATATATATATATTACGCACTTATGTGCTCCTACATCTGTGTGTGTGTGTGACGTGTGTACATGTGTGTGTATGTATGTATGTATGTAGTGAGTGCTGCTTTCAGCCTCCGTCAGAGAAGTTTTTGTTTGTAGCAAATAGCAGTTAATACAAGTACATGATCAGTTAGGGTGCAGAGAACAAGTAACTATTGAGTGTTCAGCCTTATAGGGTACACCCATACAGCCATCTCTAAGGCTCGGGGCACATCATAGGAAAGCGGGACAAGAGAACAGAAGGATCATATTATGGGGAGAAGGGGCTGTCTTGTGGATGCAATATGACTGTGGCAGCCACGAACTCACAGAATCTGTTGCTTTATGCACAAGATTTAGCCCATCAACAACAGTCATAGATGGTGAAAGCTCCTCCCAGGAGAACTATTGACGGTCTTTAGAGTGCCTAAAGAAGGGGAAATCATTGTCTTCCATGTTGTGACACTGGTGAGTTGCCTATGGTTCAGTGGTTAGCTTCAAATCAGGCCCATGTGGGTGTCTCTGGTTAAACCCAGGGCTTAAAACCAAAATCAGGACAGAAAAATCTGAAAGTGGGATGGGGACTTATTGGAAGAAGCAGGGATTTGTGGGAATGGAAAACAGATTGAGGCCAGTGAGTATGGCCAGATCTATTATATACATATATGACATTGTCAAAAACTAAAGTAATAAAAGACATCTGTTAAGACACCATCTAAGGACTGGGATGTACTTCAGTGGTATAGTGCTGGACTTGAAGGCACCAGAACCTTGGTTTGATCTTCATTGCCATAAAAATAAAGCAAAGCCCACCAAGAGATGTTTAGTTCTGTGGCAATCTCTGTAAGCCAGTAAGTTCAGGCATTAGAAGTATTATATATTTTATTTCTTCTTCTGTCCCTGAGGATTTCTGAACTATGTCCAAAAAATATCTAGGTCCGTGTGTTTTTGCGCTCATGCTTCTTTAGCTTAAACCCCATGGCTTAAGGATGAGACACATTGATGTCTTACAGTATTGGAGGGTGGAAGGTGACAATGTAAGACACTGGCAGGTTCAGTGTACAGTGGGGAGCCAGTTCTCATGGACAGCACCTTCTATTTATTTGTTTGTTGTTTGTTTTTAATTGATGTGTATGCGTGTTTTACCTGCATGTGTGTCTATGCACCCCATGCGTGCCTGGTGCCCTTGGAGGTTAGAAGAAGGCAACACATCACCTCAAACTGGAGCTACCTAGGGTTATGAGCTGCCATGTGGGTGCTGGGAATCAAGCCCAGAGCTCCTATCTGTAGTAGCATCTTGCCTTGCCAGTGACTTTGTGTTAGTGGTCACCCCTTTGGGCGTGGTTTCAGGTGCAGACACTACGGGAAGGTAGAGAAGCCTGGTGGGGCTCTCTCTTGGGCCAGGGACAGCATCGAGAGGGCAGAGGCTGCATCTTCAGCAGCAGGAACGCCACTGTGGTTCTTTACTATTATCTGTGTGAGTTGTTATCTAATAAAACACCCATTTATCATTTATCTTGGGTCTAGTGAGCTCATTAATACCCCACCTCCACGTATCCACTGAGCCACCTCTCCAGCTTCATACAGCACCTTCTTGTTGAATCCTTGCCAGGTGACGGTAGCTAGCCAATGTGTCCCTATCTCCATTATAAGACCACTAATGCCAATCGTCAGGACTTGTGGTGCACTCTTCCCTCAAGTCCCCATCTCTTAACACTGTCACTCTAGGAAATGTTTTCCTATCTAAACAGGGGTGTGTGGGGTATGCAAACATTTAGCCCACTGCACTCTGCAAAAGTGAACGCTATCAATGATGCTGAGATCATGTTTTGTTTTAAAGAGAACTACAGTGAACATGTTACTGGTTACCTTCTACAAAACCCTTTTCTGAGCTTTAATCCAAGGCAGCTCCTATCTAAGGGTAATGACAAGGATAAAATGAGTCAGAGAGATAAATGTAGTCTTAGAAAATTGGAAGGCACTATTCCTGCCACCTACCTTTCTAGCCTTGGCAAGCAGAACTTTTGCCTCATTCTATAGGTAAATGACCTATATCCTCCACCCCCAGCTTTTGCCTCCTGCAGGCACTGCTCTTGCCAATGGAAGGCCTTATGCAAAGCAACTTAGTTGCATAATCGGGTTGTGTGGGGGCTTTGGCCCCTGTCTTCACCTGATCCAGGATGCCAACAGGAATCAGAAACCACGAGTATCATCTTTAACCGCCCTTTCTCAAGGGTTGCTTGCTCCCCAGAGGCAGACTCTGCTAAGGCGGATTTGAGCTGGATCCAGCAGACCCAGAAAATGTGGTGAATGAGAGAGCCAGCTCTCCTGGCAGGAAAGAGGAAACCAGCTTCCATGCTCAACGAGGGGTCTATCGCAGCCAAGTCCAAGCACATTGTGCCACAGCTGAGAAAATGCCCAAAGTGGCCAGATCTCCACAATACCCACAAAGATAGCGACACTGTCACAGTGCACCCAGCCCTCATTATCAAGACTGATCCCAATGGAGATGTCCTCCACCCAGGGCTGCAAAGTGGAACTGCACCCAAGGGACCAGTAGGTATAGGACAAAGATGCATCACGGATGACTGTTTAGATGTAAAAATTCTCCCCGGTAGGCACATGTGTTTGAACACATAGGCCCCAAATTTATACAACTTGTAGGAAGTGGGTTGCTGTCTGTAGGGCAGGCAATGAGGTTTATAGAACAGACCACTTCCTAGCTGTTCTCTTCTTCCTGATTCCTGGAGATGTGAGTGAGTCACCTCAAGCTCCTCTGCCTTAGCCATGAATTCTCCCCTCTGCTGTGCCTTCATCACTATGATGGGCCACCTCAAGCCTAATCAACGCAAACCTTACTTTTTCTGTTGCTTCTTGTTGTGTATTGGGTCGCAGTGATGAGGAAAGTAAGTAATGTATTCATTAAAAGAGAAAGGCTCTGGGGAGCGAGAGATGGCTCAGTTGGTAAAGCGTTCACCATGTCAACATTAGGGCCAAGTACATCCGTATATACAAAAGCCAGTGCTGGAGTCAGAGACCAGAGGATCACAGGGCTTGCTGACCCAAATAAGTAATCTAATTTTAGTGAGAGATCTTGTCTCAAAAAAAACAGAGAGAAACAGAGAAAGACCCCAGTGTCAATGTTGGTCTCTGGCTTCCATACACATGTAGCTCCACCTGGTTCTCTCACTCATCATATTAAACACACACACACACACACATGCACGCACACATGCACGCACGCATGCACACATGCACAGGCACTTGTGCAGGAACACACATACATGTATATAGCATACACACGTAAAAGATGTCTCAGCTCTATGCCATCAGTTTATAACTGTACCTACT